ACCAAATGATGTGAACACACTTGTTGCTCCCTTCTCCCAAACTAATTGGAATGTGACATTCAACAATTGGTTTATGAGTTTCTAATTGACATTACACTTGTTAGCAGAGCATAAGTTGACTAGCATAGGAACTATACACAGGAACAAAGCAGAAATTCCAAATGAAATGTTGCAATTTCAAAACAGAATTGTTTAATACAATCTTTGGATTTCAGAAAGATACAACACTGTGGCCTCATATCTGGCAAAGAAAAACAAACTGCTACTGCTGATGTCAACACTGCACCATGATGGAAATATTGATGGAGAAACCCTGACAAAATAGAAACTTGAGATGGTAACTTTCTACAACAAAACCAAAGGTGCACTAAATGTTGATGAGTTATGCAGCAAGTATGATGTCACTTGAAACACAAAGCATTGCCCAGTGGTTGTTTTACTCGATCTTAAACATGTATGGCATAAAGAGTTTGATAGCTTACAAAGAAATTGACAAGTGCAAAATACCATGGAAAAATTTCCTTAGAAGACTGGGACTGAAACTCCTAAGAGATCACTTATGGGAGTGGAAAAGCAAAATATTTCTGCCCAAGGAACTATGCAAAAATATTATGGAGCACACTGTTGAACTGACAAGAGAGCAGGTAGGCACAGCATACCAAAGACCTACTACTACAGGAAAATAAAAAAGACATCAACTGTGTCCTAATAAGGACAGGAAAACAAAATATATGTGCTATCAGTGTAAGCAATACTTGTGTATGGAGTGTGTAGTTTTCATGTGTGTTTGCTTTGTGTGTGATAGTTGAAGGAAAGATTATTTCTGTTGCAGACTTTTGTTTGCACTTACACTGTAGTTCAGATAGGTTTTTGTTTCTGATGTTATCTTTTAGGTTTTGTGAGCAAGTAAACAGCTGATATGGAAATGTGATGTCTATTCTAAGCACTCATTACATATTTAATATTTTGTATTATTAATATCTTATTTTCCTACCTGCATATTGTACAATAGAGTAGAAAGCTCCTAAAAAAACAGGAAGATGAGAGATGACAAGAATGGCCTGCCACATAGGAAAGCAAAGCTAAGTACATGTGTTGTCAGTGTAAGCAAGACGTGTGCATAGAACATGTAGATGTCATGTGTGAAGACTGCCCTGGGCGTGGCAACTGAAGCAAAGATTATTTTTGTTGTAGAGTTCTGTTGATATTTTCATTGTAGCTCATACAGGAATTTATTTCTAATGTTATGGAAACATCAGAAATAAGTCTTGCAAGTAAGTACACAGCTGATATGAAAATGCTGATGTTTAACCTAAATGCGCAATATATATTAAGAAATTAATACTTTAGTTTATTGATATTTTATGTTCCTGTTAACTACACACTATATAAGAAGAACCTCTTGATAAAACAGAAAGACCAGTCGATGTCAAGTATGTCCTTCAAAAAGGTGAGGAAAGCGAAAGCGAAACACGTGTGCTATCAGTTTAAGTGGTATGTGAGTATGGAATGTGTTATTGTCATGTGTGAAGACTACCTTAGGTGTGATAATTGAAGTAAAGATTATTTTCTTACACCGTTCTATTAGTATTTTCATTGTAGTTCATATAGGATTTTATTTCTGTTCTCTTTTAGACTTTGTACATAAAAAAAATCAATGTTGAAAATTTTGATGTTTTAAAGTAAATATTAAAAATTCAATATTTGACTTTTTCCTGTTATGTATTGTTTAATATAAAAATCTTAAAATTAAAAATTCATCAATAGAAATATTCTAAACACGTGCATTATACACCCAGGTTTCTACACCTTTTATGACAAAATTGGTGCTATGACCCACTAATCTCAGCATTTTGAAAAATGCATATACACAACCAATCCTGTTTTATTATTTTAAGGATTAAGTAAGATAACACATCAAAGTGTCTAACCTGGTGCCCACCATAAGGAAAACAGTATTGATCTCCTATCCCCTTGCAATTTATTCCCTGGGGCAAGTTCTATACAAATAAATTCTTCTCTCTAAGACTATCCATTTCACATGGGAAGTAGAAGAATAAAGCCTGATCGATTATAAAAACAGTGTTTTATGAAACTCATTTTAACAAAGTAAATAAAAGCAAACAAAATTTAACTATCATGAATATTATCAGTGCATTTTCTTTTTAAATTACTGGTAGTTCGGAAACAATTTTGAGTTCTGTTTGTCTGACAAGGCTGGCAAGAATGGCAAGAATGACTTGTTATCTCTAATGAGAGATAATTTTCACTGGCCTCAAAACAGGATCATCTGTAGGCTGAAAGAGCCATATCAACTTACTTAGTGTATGCAAATTAATGACTGCTCAAATTAGTATTTTTTACTCTACTTCCTCAGCCTCCTAGAGATCTTAGCACTTTCCTCTTACCCTCCCCTTCCTGCCCCCACACAAAAAAGCATAATTCTCATCACTACAAATATTTTATTGAGCACTCACTATATTGTTGAATGCTACTAAGAGAAATGAGTTATTTTAACAAGTAACTCACATCAGTAAGCCAGCACAATTACTCTAAAAAGTATAGTGGTATTGAGTCACAAAATGCTATTAAATTTTAACCCAGTGTTTCATTCCTGAGTAAAAACTAGAAAAATGAAAAAGAAATAAATATACAAAAAGTCACTTTATTACTGATAATAGGAAACTTAATAATACGTAAAACGTTCAGTATTAAAAACTACTGAGCGAGCTAGGGATTTAGCTGAGTGGCGCTGCTGCCTGCCTTGCAAACTCAAGGTCCTGAGTTTGATCTCGAGTAACAAAATAAAAAAAGAAAAAACTACCGAGCAAACAGGGACTATAGCTCAATGGTAGAGAACCTTCCTCTCAAAGAGGTCCTGGGATAGATCCCCAGCACTTAAAAACAACAACAACAAAAAGCTATTCAGCAAATTTTCTAAATCTCTGATGGAACATGACACAAGTATTAAAATAACACAGGACAGAGATGTGGGAAATACAACTTTGGAAAGCAAGAAAATAGTAAGCTTTTTACACTATGAAAAATAAAGATAAAGTATAGTCAAAAATTTAAAAAAACAGTAAACCTCCTAATTCCTTGAGAGAATTTTGTATTCAAGAAGCAAACAGTTTCTTACCACCATGGCTGTATCTCTGGTTTCCTCCAGTCCTTCCTCCAAATCACTCAAAGGCTCAAGGTCTACATCCTTTTCTTTTTCTATTAGTTCTTTTGCTTTTTTCCTTCTGTTTTTACCACTCCCATATATACCAATGTCAGTCCGAGGACTCAGCACCTACAAAAATAAAAACAAAATTCAAACTCTTGACTTTCAAAAGTAGTGTTAAGTGAAAAGTCACCATATCCCAAGCATTTCTTAAAGAACCTTATACCTATTATCTAATTCAATATTTCCAAAAATCCTGTGCAGTTGGTACTGATTTTCCACATTTTACAAACAAAGGAAACTGATATTCAGAAAAGAAACAACCTGCCCAAGAACACAGGATTAGCAATTAAGGAGCAAGTCTTCAAACCTGAAACTATTTTATTCCAAAGCCTATACTCTTATCTATGTTCAACTGCTCAATATAAAACGGACAACTGAGTATTCAAATTGTCCTTCTGAGAAATAAAATCTGCTAGGCATGGTAGCACACACCACTAATCCCAGCATCAAGACACTGAGGCAGGAGGAGTATTGAAGTGAGTTCAAGACCAGCCTGCTGGACTACATAATGAGACCCTGTCTCCAAAAAGAAAAAAAAAAAATCTATCAGTGACAGAGTTCAATAACAAAAGTTAGGATCCAGGCTAGCTGCTTTTTCTGGACAAATAACAAGATCAATCCGAAATGGGTTTGTGTCAGATCTCAAGACTTCAGGTCAATATATGATAGTACCTAACAGGAATCACTTGTAATAGCGACTAGACTAAACTGAAAACAACTGTTACCAATACTACTATCATCTGTAGGTAACAACTAACTGCTGGTGAAAATCAAGTATATGTACAATGAATTACACTTCACCTGTAACAATGTATGGCTGGAGTTCTTCTTAAGAAAGGTCCGCCCTGTCCGTTCTCTCCAGGCCCGCGCTGCTGCCACCTGTGACTCCACCTGTGGCAGTGCATCAAGTCGCACAGGGATAGGGCGCCCTTTAGCAGATAAGCTTTCAAGCTGCTCCAAATAAGCGTAGTTGCTGCCACTCTGAAAAATAAAAGTAGATTCTCACACAATTTGAGTTCTCTTATAGTGTGGCAATATACTGTTGGAAAAAGTTACAAGTTTAGGGTTAACTTTTGTGTTCAAAAAAACCTAACCATGAGTTCCTATTATCTCCATTACACCTACACTTCTATATGGGTTTATAATGACCAAAACAAAGTTCATTTGGTTGATGCAGGTCATCATATATATCCCAGGAAGATCACAATCCCACTGAATATTCAATCTTACACCCACTAACAATAATATGACTTTCTCTGAAGGCTCCATTCATGTCTACACCTTCATGCATAACCTACACTAAGCATTTCCTAATTATGTAAGTTTCTTACCTTTGTATTAAAGGGCATTCCTGACAAAATTTAAATGATTTTCATTTTTCAGGCAATTACCAAGTAGGTGAGGTGACATTAAAAAACTTTACAATAACCATATTATGTGCATAAGGCAACATACCAAATATTTCAAAAGACAGCCATAAATTTAGCTTTATGTTTTCTAAAAGGGCTTTCAGTACAATGAAACTTTTAAATCACACTGTCAAGCAGTGTTGTTTTATTTTGGTTTTTATTTATTTTATTTGGGGGGGGTACCAGAGATCAAACTCAGGACTTTGTGCTTCCCAGGCAGGCGTGGTGCTAAATCCCCAGGTAAGCAGTGTTGTTTTTACTTCTAATTATGTACTTCTAATTTCATACTTATAAAATAGAGGATATGTCTACCAATGTCCATTATTCCTAACCCAATATATTTGTGACTCATTATTAATTTACAGTTAAACAACCTCCAATCTCCTACTAAAAAGAAAGTTTACATGGCGGACTAGAAGTATAACTCATTGAAATGTGTGCTGAGTATTAAAAAATTTTTCTATAAATTCATTTTTTAATGAACATGTCAAAGATTTTATTTCATTAATGAGGTTAATTAGTAAGATGTAAAAAAGTTTAAAAAAACACTATAAATGCAATTAGGAATGAGGAAATTAATTTGTTAATAGATGGATGCAAGCATTTAATACAATCTGGGACAATGAAATCTATTTATTTAGTTTGTGGTACTGGGCATGAAACCTCTAGCCCAACTCTTTAAAATTTTGAGACAAGAACTCACTAAATTGCCTAGGTTGGCCTTGAGCTTGCAATTTTTCTGCCTTAGCTTCCCAAGTAACAAGATAAAAACATGTGCCAACACACTCAGCTGGAAACACCTTTTCTTGTGTGGAAATCAACTGTGCCATTACAGACAACTTTAACTGCCTTTCTGTGTACAAAGAACTAAAAGCTTTAATTCTGGTAATCATCTTCACTATACATAACATAAAGAGATAAAAATGACTATTTTCTTTCTAAATTCAAAGTTTCATTACTTCCATGTAATAAAGGCATTATTGTCTTTTTAGAACTTCTACACTCATTTAAACAAAAAGTTATTTCTTCTGTACTAACACATTAGCCTGTAAACTCATTTTGAAAGACACACTGATGCAGGTGGAAAAATAAACAGGCAAAGAAACTTATAAATTTCCAAAAAGAATAATGAGGTTCATTTCCTACAAAATAATATGAGATAAGTAAATCACTATGGTACCATGATAAGTGCCAGTTAAATGGAATAAGTTTTTTTAAAGTTCAGACACAGACCAGGTCAAGAATAACATATACTACTCTTCCTTCTTGTGTCCATCTATAGCCATTTGACTACAAAACACAGTCCATATAAGCCCAGACATATCCTATTCCAAATGTATGTATTCTAAAGAAGTCTGCCTATGAAATGAATCTGTTCACTTACTTAGGGCCTACAAGTCAGTAGTGCACTGGAGAGATAGACCTGGTAGAGAAAGAGTCCTTGAAAATTACAAAGGAGACACGTGACAGCTTCTCAACTCAGTCTTTCTATTATAAGTAAATAGCCAGTTAAGGATTATCAGATTTTGAGAACAACCAAGTACCTGAAATATATATAGGTCAAAGACAAAACAAAGGAGCTGTCCTGATGAAAACAGATTACGTGTGCGTGTGCGTGCGTGTGTGTGTGTGTGTTGGGGTATATATTTATTTTATTTTATTTTATTTTTACCAGGAATCAAACTCAGGGCCTTGCGCTTGCCAGGCCACTGCGCCACTGAGCTAAACCCCTGGCCCAAAAACAGAGGCAGCTAAGCAGGTTTCAGAAAAAGTCAACTGAAAATTCAGATGTAAAAGAAAAGTCAACACAATTTGATAACTAGAATATTCTTTCTTGGAGTAGCAGTTTACTGGAAGAGAGTTGGTTTTATTTTTTTGGGGTGTAGTTCTAAAATTAAATGTATCTACAGGATTGGAGATATAGCTCAATGATAGAGGATTTGCCTAGATAAGGCTCTGAGCCTTATTTCCCTGTATCACAAAAAAAGGAAAAAAGAGAAGGAGAGAAGGAAAAAGGGCGAGAAAGAGAAGGAGAGTAGTTATATACAGTATACTGGAGATGCTATTAATGGCTTTTTAGAATTCAAACATACTTTCAGCAATAATTTCACTGTTTTGAATTATGTATGTATAACACATATCCCCAACGAGGAAAACATGCTACTTTGAAGGCCAGTGCCCTATCTTTCTTTATCTTTCATCTGTCTCAGATGGCTACTCCCAAATCTAAAAAGTACCAAAAGTGCTGTGGTATTCAGTTAATATTCATTTGGTTGTATTTTTCTGCCTCTTAAAAACATTTAAAGAATGTAACAAGTAACAACTAATTCCATAACCTTTGATAACAAAAGTGAATAATGGTGAAGTGGGTAATCCTTACTCTGAATTATGAAATGGAAGAATAAGTGAATTTTAAGTACTGTGACTATTTTGCTATGATTACTCAATTACAAAGAACTGAAGGCTTGGGCTGGGATTTAGCACAGTGGTGCTGCCACCTGCGTCACAAGTGCAAGGTCCCAAGTTCGATCCCCAGTACCATAAATAAATAAATAAACAACAAACAAATAAATAAATAAATGAACTGAAGGCTTAAAAGATTCATCTGAGACAAGTAGGTTAATACAAAAGTCTCCTTACCTGAATAGCTTCCACTTTTGCTGTCCACTCTCGAGCCTTTTGTAAGGCTTCTTTCAAGGATAACACATTAGGTAGAAAAGCTGGAATGTTTTTGGCTTCATTGACAATGCTTTCTAAACTTGCCACACTATGCCGAGGTCTAAAAACAACAGAAACAGGGTCAGATGCATGAGGGAAAGAATGTCCAACTGCTACCAATGTTTAAATAGTATTTTATAATGTGTAGATGACTTTCATACACGAGTTCATTTAATTCTTTTCTTTTTTTTTTTTGGTACCAGGGATTGAACTCGGGTCCTTGAGCTTGCAAGGCAGGCCACCGAACCACTGAGCTAAATCCCCGGCCCAAGTTCATTTAATTCTTACCACAATCCTATTAAGAAGGCAAAGCAGTGCCGGGGATTTAGCTCAGTAGCACCACGCCTGCCTCACAAGCACAAGGTCCTGAGTTCAATCCCCAGTACCACATACACACACACACATACAAAAGAAGGCAAAGCAGCTATCATCTTAATTTCTACATTACACATAAGAAAACTTTAACTCAAAGATGATTTTCCCCCCTAACATCCTTTAGTAAAGAAATGACACACCTGAAGTATGGAACAAGTCTTAACTCTAGGCACCTCCCTTTTTATTTTATTCCATTCACCTCCCCTCAAGCTCCCTTCCCTCCCTGTGTATAAATCCAAGCCCCCTTTGCTACCCAGCCTCTACTCTAGCTCTCTAAAATGTCTGAAATGGTCAGAGACGACTATGTGATAGCAATGAGGGAAGCAAAAGACCATGAATCTATTAATGTTGAACATGCACTTTTAATTCAACTACACTCAATACCCAGTTCTACAAAGGTAAATAAAACATAAACCTTATTCTCAACTAATCAGAACACAAGATAAGGATTACTCATACTGGGAATTAAGAACAAAGTACCATAGGTTCATAACTATGAGGAATAGTTATTAATTCTACCTTCAAGAGCTGAGAGCTTTGACTCAGACCTTAAAGAAGTATAATTTTATCAATGGAAAGATTAAAGAAACCAGTAAACAAAGATATGGACAAACATATAAAAATAAGTTGGTAGAGTTCAGTTTACAATGGGGTATGCTGTGATGGATTGAGAGGGCAGGTGGAGAAAACAGGAGCATCTAATAGGAAAGAAAGATACAAACAGATTAGTTTCAAGAAACATGAACCTCACTCACTATGTAAAGCACAGGGAAGTAACAAAGAGTGACAGGGTTTCATTATCCAAGATTCCTACCATGTGCTAGCACTGATCTAGATCCCCCAGATGACCAAACAGCAATAATGACAGCCTTTGCCTCATGAAACTTTTTAATCTTGTGGGGAAGACTATTAATAAGTAATTACGATGAACTTTGATAAGTACAATGACAATGGAAAGTTAAAGTACTTCAAAATATATAGGAAGACCTAATTAATTTGACAGGTTAAAGAAAACATCAAGAAATGTTATCTAAACTTTCCATCCTTTCTGAATTAGTCAGAGAAGGTGGCATCAGAGGCAGGGTAGGGGGTGCTGGAGGTGTACTACAAGGCACAGACAGAAGAAGTACGTCACAGGATATCAAAATAGACATGTACTAAGGTCTTGAGAAAGAACATGGTATGCATGAGTGTCCTAGTTACTTTTTTCATTGCTGAGACAAAATACCTAACAACCACAACAAGTTAAAAGAGGAAAGGTTTATTTTAGCTCACTGTTTGTAGAGGTTGCAGTCCATAGTCGGCTGGTTCCAATACAAGGTGGCATGGCAGAAGGGCACGGCAGAGGAGAAATAGCTCATGACATGGCAGACAGGAAGCAGCCAACTTGCATTCCTTCTGTCCCTTTTATTCTGTTCAGGCTACAAGGATATTGGATGGTACCACCTGTACCCAGGGTGGGCCTTTCTATTACCTACATCCAGAACTTTGTTAAACCAATCAATGGACTAATTTAGTTATCACACACCCTTAATCCATATTCACATACCCTACATCAAACCAGCTCAGAAAAGCCCCACCTATTAACACATGAGGCTTTGGGGAGACATCCAGATATAAACCATAAGAGTGAAGAATTTGACTGGGGGTAAATTACTACGTTTGGAACATAGACTCCAAGAGAAAGAATAATAAAATGTGAGGTAAAGTTATATAATTAAGAAAGGGACACACCAGGGATTTAGTTCAGTGGTTCCGCCACCTGCCTTGCAAGTGCAAGGACCCAAGTTTGATCCCCAGAACCAAAAAAGGGGGGGATAGATGACAAGTAGCCTTATAAATTAAGGTTTGAGGAATTGGGACTTCATTCTCAGTGAATAAAGGACATTAGGGAATGAAATAGTAACACCTGTATTTTAGGACAATTGTAGTGGCAATGTAAAGAACAAATTAGACAAATGCAAGGGCCCAAGTTCGATCCCTGGTACCAAAAAAAAAAAAAAAAAAAAAAAAAATTAGAGAAGAGAGAGAAACTATGGAAAAAGACTGGCC